CCTTGGCTTTATATGGCAATTTTGGAGAGGGCTTATGCTTTGATGGTACCACGTGCATTTAGTTGTTGTCGGTTGCATTGCATTGCACTGACTTTATTTGATATTGTGTTATGTGAATGAAGAATGTGTTGTGAAGTATGATGTAAAATGTGTATTTTTTGAATTGTGTGAGTTACTACTCCTTAGCATGTGACATTCACAATATATTTATTGAATGTAATTTTCACCCCTTTTATGTTGTTATGTATGTGCTCCTTCAGGAATACAGATATCCAGGTACCTGAGTTGTGCTTGGAGTATGAGTTACGTGATTGAGTCTTAGGAGTCGCTCTGATACGTAACACAAGATTTAGGAATTTTCTATGTTCTACGTTGTTTTATTCATTATGTATCTTACTTTTTTTTTGAACCACGAGTTTGGTGGAGAATGTTTTTATTCAAGCCGTAGTGCTATGGAAATGAATATTTGATATTTCCGCTGTGTAAATAACTCTTTTATGAGAAATGAAGTAATAAAATTATTTGAAATTCTATGATTTGTTGAAAGATGTGACATCCTACTTGTGTACTCTGATATATTTTCTATGTTTTATTATAATTATTCTCGTGGGGAAGTGAGGTGTTACAACATCAGTGATTTACCTCTAGAGCGTGAGGTGGAGTTTTTTATAGAGTTGGTACCAGGTACAAGTCTGGTGTTGATGGCTCCTTATAGGATGTCAGCTTCAGAGTTAGGTTAATTGAAGAAACAATTAGAAGATTTACTCGAGAAGAAGTTTGTTTGACCAAGTGTTTCTCCTTGGGGTGCTCCTGTGTTGTTGGTTAAGAAGAAAGATGGTAGTATAAGGTTATGTGTAGACTACAGATAGTTAAATAAAGTGACTATCAAGTATAAGTATCCACTTACGAGGATTGATGATTTGATGGATCAGATGGTGGGTGCTTGTGTTTTTAGCAAGATTGGTTTGAGGTCTGGTATCATGAGATTCGTCTTAAACCAGATGATATTCCAAATACAGATTTCATAATGAGGTATGGTCATTATGAGTACTTTGTGATGTCGTTTGGTGTATCATAATGATTTGTTATGATGATGAAACTTGACGTTGTTGCTATGATCTAAGTGATGTATATGTGAAGGTGTCTTAATGGTGTACGTGTTTAAATATGTAAACATGTTATGTGAAGATGATTATATGATGATTATGTGAATGATGATTCACTTGACTAGTTGTGGTCTAATTTTCATATGACATTGTTGTGCATCATGCATTCATAGCATTTTTGGACGGTGGTCCACTATTTTGGGAGATGTTCCACTTATGACGAGCCTCAATCGCATTGTGTGGATTTTGTGCATTTATGATGTGCTTTGGTTCCAAGAGGGAATCGGTTCTATGGTGGGGATCTTTGGAGGCTGATGACCAAGTTTTCATCAAATATTTGGTACCACATGCATTTGAGTCAGTTGTGTTGCATTAACAGTCTATGTGACATTGCATGAGTTTTGTTGATGATTTGTCATGTGACGGTAATTGTGAATTATGTGATTACATGATATTTTGATGATGAAAGATGTACATGGATTTTATGATGTACCTGTGAATATGAATTATTGATGAATAGTATGTGCTCTTATGTGAAGATGTTGTTGTAACTACTAATCTTTTCCTCATGTCTTTTATAATAAATTGTAATTACTCACCCTTTATTTTTGAATGTTGTCTCCATGTTAGTAACGTGCAAGTGACCAGGAGTAGTTAGTAGAAGCAATGATGATACCTTTGAAGTGTTTATATAGTTTGCTTCATTAGTGGTGTCTTGCTCTGATATGTAACATCGGGTTTGGAATGCTCTATGTTGTACTCCAAAATTTGCCTTCTTTTCATACACGCATATTATTGGTTTTATGGTTATGGAATAAAGGTATATTTATCAAGCTTCTTTAGGTTACAAGTGACGTTTATTTCGTCAATGGATATTCTCAGAGTATTTTCCGTGCTGAAGATCGGTTCTCCATTTTGCAACGATTCGGGGTTCAAAGATTCACAAGTTCAATTCGGCGCGTCATATTCAGGTGTTCTTTCGTCAAGATATCTCTGATAACGTATTCTCAAATTCAGGTTCGGCTTAAGAGTCAATTCTTTAAAAAAGGTATCCGAATGTGTGAGTTTTCTCGAAGAAATATGGTGAAAAAGTGTGCTGAAAGTGCAGTTTTTATGCGCTAAAAAATTCATAACTTGAAGATCGTGGCTTGTTTTGAACCTGTTCTAGTGGCCAAAATTCCGTATTTATGTTATCTACATTTTCATCTCTCACGGCTGGAAGCCAATTCCGATCATAAGGTCTTCAAAAATGCGGATTTATCAAGTATTTTCGTACAAAAATGTGTGACAGAAGTTTATTTGCGTCATGTTCAGAAAATCATAACTTGGTCGATTTTCATTGTATCGAGCTGGTTCCGGCACCAAAATTTCACAAATTGAGTTGGCTAAGATTTCACAGGAGGTATTAAGTTCGAATAGTATCCAAAAGGCCTTCATTTTTTGCTCAGAGTGCGTGTGACACGCCGAAAATCCTGAATGTTGAATATTATTTCATCTGGGTCGAAACTTCAAAAATTCATAACTCGGACAATTTTTATCGGATCGGGCCCATATTTTTACACAAGGTCACTGACTCAGATATCTACAACTTTTCTTCCAAAGTCGAGACCAGAATATGCTCCGATCAATACCAGTTTGTTATTGAAGAACGTGTCAGAGTCATCACTGGAGCCCAAAATAAGTTTGTCTGAACTGAAACTTCAAAAATTCATAATTAATTCACCGTTTATCCGATTGAGCCCATTTTCATACATGAGTTAGTTCTCGATATCGGCTACATTTTGTTTTCACATTTCAACTTCAAAATTTGCACTTAAGCCCCTGCGATTTAGCCTGGAACATGACGAACTCAAGTGAACATTGGAGGCCCAATTGCACATTCAAAGCCCATTTTTTCTCTCTAATTTCTATTATATAATCTCATTCTTTTCACACAAACAAAAAAAAAAGAGAGAAAAAAAGCTTTTGCCACAATGCATATTCATTACAGAACGTTGAGGCCAATTTTTTTGTCCTTCAACAAGAATCGAACCATAGACATATGGTCTGCAATGAACACTTCTTACCACTAGACCAATGCATTTTCTTTGTTACATATATGCATCAATAAATATTCATATCATTAACATATTAATTACAATTATCAATAAATTTTCTTAACTAGTTGGTTTAAATAATTTAAAAAAAAATGTTTTACATATTTTATCTTTTTACTGTTAAAATATATATAGTTTTAAATTATATATTCTTGTTAATATATATAATTAGTTTTGATGATAACTAATTATATATAGTTTTAACATATATAGTTTTGATGATATATAGTTTTAACTTTTCTTAACTAGTTGGTTTAAATAATTTTTAAAAAAATGTTTTACATATTCATATCAAATTTTAAATGATTTTTATTAAGTATGTTAATATTCTCTCTTTTTTATAATAGATGTTCTATTTTCTCTTTTTATTTGTCTTAAATTATTTATTATTTAAAATATAATAAAAAATTTATTATTTCTTTTTATCCATTTACTTTTATTTATTGTATTTTAATCTATATAATATTCTACTACTTATTTTTAATAAAATTATTTTAATAAATAAGATTCATTTTTAAATTGAAATTAATGTAATTAATTATTATATGAAAAAATATGAAAATGTAACAAACATACGAAGGGAGTACTACTTTTGAATTTTAAAAACAATTTCATAATGAACAATGTGGGACAGAACATGTCGACGTCAAAACTAAATTATTGTTTTAACATATATAGTTTTAAATTATATATTCCTGTTACTATATAGTTTTAAATTATATATTCATGTTAATATATATAACTGTTAAAATATATATTCCTGTTAATATATATAATTTTAAATGATAACTAGTAAATGGATAAGTAATTTTAAATTTAAAACATTTTAAAAGTTACAGTAAAAAGATAAAATATGTAAAATATTTTTTTAAAAATTATTTAAATCAACTAGTTAAGAAAATTTATTGATAATTGTAATTAATATGTTAATGATATGAATATTTATTGATGCATATATATAACAAAAAAAATGCATTGGTCTAGTGGTAAGAAGTATTCACCATAGACAGTATGTCCATGGTTTGATTCCCGTTGAAGGACAAAAAAATTCATTAGACATAAACTTTTTTGAAAACCTTTTTTTTATTTATTAAAATTAATTAGGTTTTAGGATTTTTTAATTAACCATTTTTTTCAAAACTAACCTTTTTTATAATTCAAACAAATTAGGATTAGGTTTTTGTTTTAGTTAGTAACTGAATTTTTGGCTTTTTTTTCATTTATTAATAAATTAAGTTAATTAACTTTTTTAATTAAAATTAGTTAGAATTAGGTTTTTTAACTAACTTAAAATTATTTTCTACAAAAAACACCAAAAACATTAACTTAGAATTTTAGGTTTTATTTTTTCCTTATTTTCTTTTTATTTATTCTTTTACATTTTAATTTCTAGAAAAATTGTATAGGTCGCATTATCAATGTAATAGCGTATATTTATCTTTTCTCGCATTTTTTTTCTAATTATGTAATTGCTTCCGGGTTGTAATAGTAATTAGGGTTTAAATTCCACATTTTTATTTTCAGTCTAAAATAATTATGTATCTGCAAAAGCCTTGTAATAGCTAGGACTTTAAACTTTCACTACGCCGAAAAAGAATTACGAAAGCGCTTTTTTGGCCTTTAAAAGCGCTTAAAAGCGCTTTAGTGGGTGGCGCTGCTATAGGTTTTAGCAGCGCTTTTTGTTTAATGAAAAACGCTTTCGTAGATCTACCTAATACAACACTTTTTCTAAAAAGCGCTATCTTAAGTAGGCTTTTGGCAGCGCTTTTTTTATGAAGAAGCGCTTTCATAGGTCTACCTAAGGCAGTGCTTTTTTCTGGAAAAGCGCTCTCATAAGTTTTCTTTTAGCAGCACTTTTTTCTGGAAAAACGCTGTCTTAAGTAGGCTTTTAGCAACATTTTTTTCTGGAAAAGCGCTTTCATAGGTGGTCTTTTAGCAGCGCTTTTGCCTGGAAAAGCGATGTCATATGTTTACCTTAGACAACGCTTTTTGTGAACATTTCTTGCCATAACAATAGTTTGCTCTAGGAAAGGTTCCCATGCTAAGGTACTATCCATGATCATATCTCGCCCTTTATTTAAAGCTGTCACTAGTAGAGATGATGCAGCATCAATCGAAGTCTGATGCACCTGTTTAGATTTTGATGACAAGCTAATTAGGAAATACTCTGAAAATAGTAACATGAAAGTTTCGGACAATAGAAGCATACCAGTTCAGCACTTTGAAGCATTTCATCATGGTGGCCCTTAGAGTTAAGAGCTCTATAAATGACATCACTCTCCTTAAAAGCATATGCTTCAACAACCACAACATTGGATGCAGCTTCTGACCAAAATGATCTGCCAAAACCATTTAATTAGGGGCAAAACAAGGAAAAAAGGTGAAGGGTGACAAAATTTAACACATGTCATAACTCATAAGATCGTTTTTTTCTTCTTCTTATTTTGGATACACATGGTTCATAACATTTGCAACAATTGGAATTGAACAATGATCTAATTAATATATGGAAGAAGTAGAGTTAAGGTGATACTTACTCTCTAAGAATGTCTTTAAGAACAGTGCTTTTTCCAGATTCCATGCCTCCACCCATAAGCAGCAACACTGGACTCCTCTCACTCTGGACAATGGAGACCTTGTCATCACAACTTTGCGAGTCGCCCTTTATTGCTTTAATCTCTTCAACCAATATAGAGAACACTATGGCCACCTTTAGTTTCTTTGTTATTCTCTCAAACCTATGTTCCCTATAAACATAGCATAATACATTTAAATTAGTCCATATTTTTGAAAGGTTATTTTAAAGCAAAATTGTGAGTGGATTATTAATTGGTATGCACGTGTAACAGAAATTTACACTATTAGTCTAATAATCAATAGATCAAACTTTATTTGGCATGGATTATAATTACTTAAAAAATCCTGGATATGGCTTACTATAATTGATTTTCCGTGTAAAAATATTCACACACTAACATTACATTAAAATTCGGTCTTAGGCTCTGTTTGTTATTTTAAAAAAAACATTGCACCAAAATTAAACTCGAAATTAGATATAAATTTACCTTGTGGCTTCCAAAAGAATATTTTTGAGATTTATTTTGGGTTGGGACTGAGAACTTAATACCTATGATTAAGACGATTAAAACATCAATATATTAACATACAATTATCTATGTCAAATAAACAAAAGCATGTATCAACTTAAAAGTTAATATATTTCCCAAACTATAAAATTCTTTCTTAATTAAGAAGTTACACTTACATCTAATTAAATATCACCATCTCATAAATATCTGTAGAGATGTTTTAGAAATCGTCATAACAAAGTGTTATAATAGTGAGGTGAAATTTTTTATACCAAAAGTATAGTGAGATATGACTGAAAACATGTGTAATTGGTTTTTTTTATTAAAGAATTATGTACCTGGGTAATGATAAATGAAGTTCGGTTCCAATGAAAAGCAAAATAACTGAGGATGCAACTTTCAAATTCTTCAATCAATTTTGCATATAGTGCATTAGCGTTGTCCCCATTGGCTAGATATTGATATATATTTTCTTTACACCCTTCCGTGTTTCTCAATTAGTCCTATGCCAATCTGCACAACTCTGGAACCTCGCCGACATCTACAAATCCCATTTGCCTAGCTGCATAGACAAATGTACAAGTAGCCATAATCAATTCGATAATAACACAAATTCATCATCAAATTCACGCCCAAACTAAACTGGAGAAGTAAAAGTAAAGTGGTAAAGAAGTTACCAACATAGTGAGAGAAAATCTCAAGCTTGGCAACACGGCCTGACTCCGTTTGATGTAAGTAAGGAACAATCTTCTGTTGGTCAACCATTACTGAATTATCACCGATTAATCCGACGATGGAGGCTTCCATGACATGTGCGAGGTTGCTCATCACATTAACACTACTAGCAGTACCATCTGAGAATAAAATCACAAAAATTAACAAAATATAAACTGACGACAATGTGTTTGTGTAAATGCGTAAACCAAAATAAGTACCTTGCAGTTGTAGCTGCATGTTGTTCGAAGATTCAGAAGTAATCATAGATCTATTTTTTTGAGGGTTGATATGAATAGAGACGGGAATGGGATGGATGAATAAATAGATTATCTTGAAATGTAAAGAATGATAAAAAATGAGACTCTGCTAACATTGTCATTTAATGGTCTCGCCAAACACGTTCATCATCATTTCTTAGAAGAAATGGCCACTTGCTTTTTTGAATTGATTATAATAAAAAGCGTCCCACGTCTCCTGATGACGTTTTTTATGGTGAAGGATTGGATAAACGTTCACTTTAGTCAAATTATATTAAGTTGTATATACTTAACGTGTGGATTAGATGACATGAAATTGTTAACCAAACAAAAAGCACACGAAAACCAGACAAACACATACGAGATGAGGAAAAAATGAAACCTAATACGAATTACAGTTGGCGGGAGAAGTGGAGCACCGTTGACCGCCGTAGAAGCTCTGGTTTAGGGTTTTTTCGTGAAGAAAATCTGACTGAGAATAGAAAAGTGATACGAATTGTGTTTTAATATTTATTATAAAACTACCTACGAAAGCGCTTTTAAAAGCGCTTTCTAAAGGTCATCTATAACAGTGCTTTTACATCAAAAAGCGCTTTCGTAGCATATCCTATAGCAGCGCTTTTAAAAGCGCTTTCTAAAGGCCAACTTTAGCAGCGCTTTCCAAGGCTGACCTTTAGCAGCGCTTTTGAAAAGCGCTTTCTTAAGGTACCCTCTGAAAGGCCAGCTTTAGCAGCGCTTCCCAAAAAGCACTTTCTAAGGGTGACCTTTAGAAGCGCTTTTGAAAAGCGCTTTCTTAAGGCACCCCTTGAAAGCGCTTTTTTAAGCGAATTTTTTTAAAAACCTACGACAGCGCTTTTTTCCAAAAGCGTTTTCTTTTATGTGCTGCTAAAACTTATTTTTGGCGTAGTGTTTCTTGCTTTTATTTTCGCAAACTATAAACTGCTTAGATGAATGTTAATAGGATTGTATGAAAAGACTAATTAAAAATTAAAACAGTAGATCACCTTAATTGTGCAAAGATTAAAATAACTGAAATCAAACACATGCACATGCTCACCCTTAGGGTATGCCTCACTTGGTTGCCTCGGAAAAACAATGGTCATGTCCCTCGAACGTAGGGATATCTTAGCAAAAGACCCTCAATCTAAAAGTCATCATAAAGATCATAGTCCCTTAACGTCCCTCGAAGTTGCCTACGGTATATGATCTTGTCCCTCGATGTTGCCTACGAATATATGATGACAGTCCCTTCGAAATGCTAAGGTATCCTTACATGTTGCCTTCAATGACCATCACGTCCCTTTCGAATTGACCCTTACAAATTCCAACGACGGTGCTACCTAATCACTAATAGTGGGATAGAGCTGTCTAAAGGAAACAAGAACATAAACATTCCTTTTTCGAGTAGGTAGATGCTAGTAGGTACTTGCTCAAAATCAAACTTTTCCACACTTACACACTTTTCAAACAAAGTTTTCAAAAACACTTTGTAACACTCTTGAGGACTGATACAAGGGTTAAAACAAAGTAAAACAAAAACTTTTCAATACACACAAACACGGAAGCAATTTTTAAAATGATGAGCAAGTACCTAAGAGCCCGTAGAAAACTACGGATAGAAAGGGTGCTAATACCTTCCCTTTCTATAATCTACCCCCCGTACTCAGAAAATCTCGAAAAAGGAATTTTTTTATGCTTTTTCCTTTCCTTGTTGGATAAAATAAAAGTAGATGGCGACTCTTGCTTACCGTGACATTTGCGAACAAAAAACGCAAACCAGTAATAACAGTCGGTTCTGCCACTGTATCACAGAACTGGCGACTCTGCTGGGGAATCATAAGTGGGGTATACCTTAGGATTAGTTCATCATATTGCTTCTCTTGTTTAATTTGATTGCTTTATTTTTGTGGGCTCTGTATTGGAGTTACTATAGATCCTAACCCGGTTCTGGGGGACATCTTTTAGGTAAGTAGCAATAAACTGTGAGGGAACTGTACGACATAGACCGATACGGTTGAAGCAGTAGCTACGTTGATGTGGCACACTGGTTGGTACCGGTATCCCTTATGGAGAAACAAGGAGAATATGGGGCTGCTATGTGTGTCGTTAAGCATCAACTGACCTTAGAACCTATAATTGACCAACTTGGCCATAAGAAGTAGTGAGATAGCCGGTCTCGGTGTAGAGCTGGGAACTGGTTGATACTCGATACTACACTCATTGCAACCATACTCTCGAGATAGTTCTGGCCACATGAAAAGATTACGTGAGCTGAAACCATGACCGATGGAGGATGGTCAGTGATATTGAGAACCTCTAGAACCCAGTTACTATTATTAGGACAGGTTGAACCAACTTAACTTCAAGAGGGTATTACCTTTGACCTCATGCAAGCCTAAACCTAAGGCTGTTTGTGTGACTTGTGTGCTTTCAGCTTGAACTACTTGCACAGTTTTGTTATCTGAAAACATGAGTTCCTTGCAGGTTTTGTTTACAGTCCTTATCCAATAACTTGGATTTCTTGCCGGATTTACTTGCTTACATCATCTCACACTTTTGCTTAAACGCATAGCTTACACATCATAACATCATGCCTTAACATTTCCTTAACCATTTCAAGGATCTCAAGGGTTTGTGATGCAGGTTATGGTAAATCAAACGTCTAGCAAAGGAAAAAGGGGATTTATTTTCCTCTAGCCAATGCCTTCTAGAGATCAAAATACGATAACTTGAGTCAGTGGCTATGACCCACTCGATATGGTGAGCTTGACTCTTGAAGAAGGACTCTTAACGACATGAAGTTTCTTCAATCAAGCTGCAATCAAATTCTAACAGTTTCTTGTTTATCCCGCGAGATCCTTGAAAACATTGCATACATATATCATACATATCGTTGCATAACAGGTCTTCCAGTACAGGTCTCTCATGTTCTCGTTGTTTATTTCAGCAATGGCTCTCAAACAAGACAACATAGATCTTCAAACTCAAGAAGCTCAGTTCAGGGACATATTCCTAAACCTATCCAAGGGGCGGGAAGAGTTGAAAACACCCCTCGTTGGGAACTTGGTCAAGAAAAGTCCTGAAGACAATAAGGACGAACGGCTGGAACAACTGCAAGCTGAGGTAGGTCCAATGTGAACCCAGATGCTAGGGCGGATGACTCTTATCCAAGGCCTAGCTCGAAGAAAGAAGAGCTGAGAACCATTATCAACCAACTTCATCAAGACGGATACAACAGTATGAAGCAAACAGTCGAGGTCGGGGACCAAGTTATTGATCAACCTCCAAGAAGACAAGGGTTTGGTTTGGTGAAGAGTGGACCTTTCCAAGTTACTACTACATCATGGGTCCAACAACAACTTCGCCAAAAATAACGGGTTAATCAGAGTTAGCCGAATATGCCCAAAAGGAAGCTTACCAAACTCAACATGTTGTTATCTCAAGCTTTGCAACACCTATTAAGGATGAATCTGATTACGTTGATAGGACCTCATCCGAATCCCAAGACTTCTTCGCCTAACTACAATCCTGATGCAAGGTGTGCATATCACTCCAACAGTACGGGGCATGATATTGACGACTGTTGGAGGTTGAAATACAAAATTCAAGACCTGATTGATGAAGGAGCATTGGAATTCACACAAGATGGTCAACTGGAATGTTTCTGTCAATCCTCCATGGCTCACCATATAAAGTGACAAGTTCTGACAAGAGAGGCTTTTGTTCATTAGAATTTTCGATTTGCAATTTTCTTTTGATTGTTCGAACATTTATTCATGTCAAACTCTGTTACTTTATCAATGCATTGCATATGTCTGTTTTGAATCAATTCATTCGTATTCACTATATTTAAATTGCTTTCCTTTTGTGATATTCAACTCTCGAACAAAAACTGTAAGCCTTTAGAGGGAGGATGACAAAAACAATACCACAATCTCTACAGTATGCTTTTGAACAGACCCTACTGACGATGTACAGGCGTTGTTTCAAATCCTAAACAGTGGAGTTATAAGGAAGATAATCCCTAGTCAACCCCTTCGAGCCAAAGAAGTAGGAGTTTTTCTTTTCACACAAATTAAAACCCTTAATCACAACCTGAGGCAGGGTAGTTTTCTCAGTTAATCTAGGTGCACAATGAATGGCATCGAAGACATCCTTCCAAAACAGAAGATGGTGATGGTTCCCTATAATCGTCAAGACAGGCAGTCATTATCTCTCGAAATAAAAGCCCATTAAGTTATAACCTATGAAGGAGACTTAAGAAGAAAAAAAGAGCTAGGGAATCCCGCTGACTGTAATCACAAAAGAAACAGTTCAGGCAAAAAATAGGGATAGTAAAACCAAAAGAGAGGTTACTACAAATCCTCGGCAAAAAAAAGATTACAAAATGACTGCCTTTTTCAAGTAAACTGTCAGTATCCGAACCATCATTGGAATATCAGAGCAAAGACTCAAACAGATTCTAAACGTGCAATTAAATGAGCATAGGACTGAAGAACGTCACAAAGAGCGGGTGGGTACAAATAAATTTTGAGCCTTTATCCTTTGTTTCTTGAACCGTGAACCAGGCCACGTTATAACCCTTAAAAGTCCTAGCTGAAGCATGGGTTAGTTCGAAAGCATACTGTTACAAAAGGTATCCTGACTCCTGAAGGTCCGTTACAAATCCCGAGTTGATATCACATCTTTGCAAAATTCTATTTTTTCTAAAAAAAACTGCATTTTCAAAACTTCAAGACAGACGTAAGCTTTGCATTCTTAAAATAACATTGTTTGCATATGACTATTTGTTCAGCAGCAGAGAAATTCGCATGACGAATATCTAGTGAACAAAAACCTTCTCAATAAAAAGGATCACCTCAAGTGGAAAAACACTTCCAACCAAGGGGCACGACATGATCATTGTCCATCATCTGGGGCAGTCAAGTCAATATTCAAGGAATCTCTCAAGGATGCCAAATAGCCAGGAGCAGATCTCCATCTGAATCACTTGGGGCATTCAACATA